CCTGCCTTCTTTATCCTGAACACTCTTCTTAAATCCACAGAACCTGCTGCCTTCAAGGAGAAGCTAGAGCCAACCCATTTGGTAAAGAAAGGTGGATATGCTGAGTTGGCCTGTGAAGTCACTGGTACTCCTGAGATTAAAATCACGTGGTTCAAGAATGATAGAGAGCTAAAAGAGAGTGACAAATACAGAATGTCTTTTACAAAATCCTTGGCAGTACTCCACGTTATAGAGGCTGAGACTGAAGATAGTGGGGAATACATTTGCGAGGCCAGAAATGATGCTGGGAAAGATACCTGCAGTAGTGTTGTTACAATCAAAGGTTTGTGTGACATCCAGCCACACAGTTTGTCTCTTTAAACTCAGTACAGTTTTACAGGCTTTGAAAGCATGACTAATACAACTGAACTCTCTCTTTTGCACTGTAGAGTCACCTTATTTTAGCAAGGAGTTTCAATCCATGGAAGTCTTGAAGGATTCTGATGTGGTTTTGGAGTGTGAGGTGCTTGGCACACCTCCATTTGAAGTGTTTTGGGTGAAAGACGATAAACCCGTGCGGAGCAGTAAGAAACACAGAATAAGCATTGAGAAATCTTTGATTAGCCTCCACGTTTTCAGGTTTGATGCTTCTGATGTTGGCGAGTATCAGTGTAGAGTAACAAATGATGTCGGAAGTTGCTTCTGCAGTTCAGAGGTCACACTGAAAGGTTAGTGCAAGGTGCAGAATGCCACTAGCATGCTCTTATCCCAGTGTGGTTTCCATGCCACACTGTCATTCACCAGACTCATACTTACATATCCATTTTCTTCCTGCCAGAGCCCCCACAGTTTGTAAAGAGGATAGAAAACATTAGTTCCCTTCGAGGGGGAACGGTTGTGTTTCAGGCTGCTGTTAAAGGCTCCTTGCCCATCACTGTGTCCTGGCTGAAAGACAATGATGAAGTGATTGAAGATAACAATATCAAAATGACTTTTGTGAACAATGTTGCCACTCTTCTGGTGAGGTCTATTGAACTCAAACATGATGGGAAATATTTCTGTCAGGCTAAAAATGAAGCAGGAATTCAGAGGTGTTCTGCTCTGCTGACTGTCAAAGGTTGGTCCTACCCTGAGGGTTTGCAGTGATCTCAGACTGTTCCTTGGTGATTTATACAGAATGCTCTTAACACTTCATCTCCTTGTCTACAACAGAACCTGCTACAATCGTGGACAAGGCTGTGTCAATAGATGTGACTGAGGGAGACCCAGCAACCTTGCAGTGTAAATTTTCGGGAACAAAACATATTACAGCCAAATGGTTCAAAGATGGCAAGGAACTGACACTAGGCCCAAAATATAAGATCAGTATTACAGATACTGTCTCAGTCCTAAAGGTGCTTTATGCAGAAAAGAAAGATAGTGGAGAATACATTTTTGAGGTTCACAATGACGTTGGGAGCAGTAGCTGTTCTGCCAGCATTAATGTCCTAGGTGTGTATGGGCTTTCTTTTATCATTGTTTTTATATAAAATACATTTTATCCTGAGCTCACATCTGCCACGATCAAGGTTGAATTTCAAACTTTGGTTTTTTACTGTCTTGGATAGATCTCATTATACCACCTAAATTCACCAAAAAGCTCAAGAAAATGGACAGCATTAAGGGGTCTTTTGTCCATCTGGAGTGCATAGTGTCCGGTTCACATCCCATAAGTATCCAGTGGTACAAGGATGGCCAAGAAATAACAGCAAGTGAAAAGCACAAATACTCCTTCCATGATAATACTGCATTTCTGGAAATCAATAAGCTGGAAGGCACAGACAGTGGCTCTTACACTTGTGAAGCAACCAATAAGGCAGGAAGCAACCAATGCAGTGGGTTCTTAACAGTCAAAGGTTTGAGTTCCTTCTTTGTCTTGTGTTAGGCCTTTCATTCATAATTTTGGAATTCTCCTGTCTCAGAGTAATCCTCTTTCTTCCTTTTTACATGTTACAGAACCACCATATTTTGTAGAAAAACCCCAGTCCCAAGAGGTTGTGCCCAATGCTAGGGTTCAGTTCAAAGCACTGGTGAAAGGCTCTACTCCTCTGCAGATAAAGTGGTTTAAGGACAGCCAAGAGCTCCTCTCTGGAGCCAATCGATCTGTCTGGAAGGATGACACATCTAGTGTACTGGAGCTCTTCTCAGCGAGGACATCTGACTCTGGGAACTACACTTGTCAGATAAGCAATGATGTGGGGACTGCAACTTGCAAAGCAACTTTGTTTGTAAAAGGTGTGCAACTCAAATGTTCTTCTCATTGTGCTTCTGATTTTGCTGTGCAATTTGGGGTGGGGGGGGGGAGATAGGAAACCCTTGTATTTCTTTAAGCCACCTGAATATTAAAAAGCCTCACCTTTTCTGTCCATCTTCTAGAGCCCCCCAGGTTTATTCAGATGCCAACTTCTGTAGTAGCTTTGCGTGAAGGACAGTCCACCACTTTCGAGTGCCAGGTAGTAGGCACGCCAGAGATCCACATAACATGGTACCTGGATGGGAATGAAGTGACTGACCATGCTAAGTACGGCATCTCCTTCATAGACGGTTTAGCCACTTTGAAATTAACTCAAGCCAGAGTGTCAGATAGTGGGATTTATGTTTGCGAAGCTCACAATGATGCAGGTAGTGAGAGCTGCAGCATCGAGCTGAAAGTAAAAGGTTTGTTTTGAACATCTTGGCATCTATGCCACATAGCTGGGGTGATGGAGTAGGGGAGACTTCTTCTCCCCTCAAAACCACTAGAGGTTACTATTTGCTTTCTCTTCATTCCTCTTTGCAGAGCCTCCAACGTTTGTTCGGGAGTTGCGTCCCACTGAGGTAGTGAAGGGTTTGGAAGCCATACTTGAGTGTGAGGTGGCTGGTACTCCTCCATTTGAGGTGAAGTGGCTGAAGAACAATAAGGAGATGTTCAGCAGCAAGAAATATGCCATCTCCACCAAAGAATCAGTATTTACTCTTAATGTGACTAACTGTGATGTCTCAGATATTGGTGAATATCAGTGTATTATATCAAATGAAGGTGGAAGCTGTTCTTGCAGCACAAGGCTCAGCTTGAAAGGTCAGTCCTTTAGGAAGCATACCCACAACATTGTAAACTCTAGCTAAACTGTAGTGACTAGGATGACTTTATATGATCTCTCTTCTCCCCTTTCCGTTTCCATGACTTCTCTTCCAACCAAACAAAACATCGTATCACAGAACCACCATCCTTCATCAAGAAGCTCGAGAACGTCACTAGCATTTTGAAAGGTACTTCGTTCTTCCAGTGTGTTGTAGCTGGTGCTCAACCCTTATCTGTGTCATGGATAAAAGATGAGAAAATTCTAGAAGATGATGAGCACCACCATATTACCTTTGAGAACAGTGTGGCCACACTGGAACTTACCAATGTTGACCTCAGCCACAGAGGAAGATACACTTGCCAGGCAAAGAACGAATCTGGCACGGAGAAATGTTTTGCTTTGCTTTTTGTACAAGGTGTGTACAAGGTGTGACCCTTCAAGCTCATCCTTGATGAGTACTTGGAAAGTCACTACCCTATCTATATAGCTAACTGGTATTTTTATATACTTTATACCTCAGAGCCTGCACGGATCACAGAAAAGCCTAAATCACTTAAAGTCACTGAAAGAGACCCTGTGACTTTGGAGTGTACTGTGGCTGGGACACCAGAGCTCCGAATAAGATGGTACAAAGATGGCAAACAACTCCTGCCCAGTAGATACTACACAATGAGCTTTGAAAACAATGTGGCCAGTTTCAGGATTGAACCTGTATCAAAGGAGGATAGTGGTACATACAGTTTTAAGGTTGAAAATGACTTTGGAAGTAGCACCTGTGAAGCTGTTCTGACTGTGCTAGGTTTGTATTGTCATTTGGCAAATTCACCAATCCAGCAGGGAGGAATGAAAAAATTATAATGTCTGTGAAAGATAGGCAAGAAGTTAACCAGTGTGTTTTTGCCATTTTTTGTGTTGGGCAGATCAATCAATTCCTCCTGCATTTATCAAAAAACTAACCAAAAAGGATACTGTTCTGGGATCTTCTATTCAAATGGAGTGCAAAGTCTCTGGGTCACTCCCCATTACTGCAAAATGGTTTAAGGATGGAAAAGAGATAACTGACAGTGCAAAATATAGAAGCCTGTGCCATGAGAACACTATGTCACTGGAGATTGCTAATCTAGAACTGGCAGACAGTGCAAATTACACATGCAGTATCTCTAATGTTGCTGGGAATGATTCTTGCAGTGCCGTCCTGACTGTGAAAGGTTTGAAGCTCTTTTGCTACTTATTTGTGATGGGTGCTGGGAAAATACCTTAAATCTTATGCTAAGATAACACTCTTGTACTTCTTAATATAAATGCTGAAAACTTGGTCTCCATGCTTACCTTACTAATTTTCTTCATTCTTCCAATGAAGATATTTCTGATGTAACTGAATATTTCTTTTTCTTGAAAACTGCAGAGCCACCAAGCTTCTTAGTAAAACCTGAAAGCCAGCAAGCCATCCCAGATTCCACAGTGGAGTTTAAGGCTACACTAAAAGGAACACCACCCTTTACAGTAAAGTGGTTCAAAGAAGACTTAGAACTTGTATCTGGTCCAGCTTGCTTCATTGGGATTGAAGGGTCAACTGGGTTCTTAACCCTCTATTCAGTGGATACTTCTAGGAGTGGGCACTACACTTGCCACGTTTCAAATGATGTTGGCAGTGACTCTTGCACTACAACACTGATGGTGACAGGTGTGCCTTCTTTCTTGTGTTGCAGTCTTTTCGCCTATTTATTTTCTTTCCTTTCCTTTCCTTTTTTTGCCAAGCCCACCTCAGTGATATTGATATACCTCAAATGAATAACCTACCCTGTGTTTGCGACCCACAGTTCTTTGGTTCTTTCTCCTCCTCTTTTCTTTCCAGTATTAATTTAGACCTTCCTGACTCCACTTTTTCTGGTTTTTTAGAACCACCCAAGTTTGCTAAGAAGCTAGAGGCAGCAAAAGTAGTCAAGCAGGGTGACTCAGCCCGGCTTGAGTGCAAAGTAAGTGGATCTCCAGAGATGAAAGTAGTGTGGTTCAGAAATGACCATGAAATTGTTGCCAGTGAAAAATTCCGGACATCATTCATTGACTCCATGGCTGTGCTTGAAATGAATTATCTCAGTACTGATGACAGTGGTGACTACATCTGTGAAGCTCAGAACCCCGCCGGCAAGGCCAGCTGTAGCATCAAAGTCACAGTGAAAGGTTAGCTGTCCTCTTGTTCTCTTGACTACATGCTGTTTTTCCCTGGTGGCTTTACCCTTTGGAAATCAACAAGAACAGGAGACTAATTTCTTATTCTAGGACTGCCTTTTTCTTCATGTTTGTTTCTTGATGCTCCCTCACCCCCTCTGTTAGTGCCTGAACAACAGAGACGTTGTTCTTAATGCATGAGAGTCCTGAGTTAGGTGATCCCTAGTTCTATGACTGTCAACACCCAGTACAGATCATAGTGGGAACTGCTATATCAAGGAGCTGAAATACAAAGAACAGACCCAGACTAATCAGTATCAGTTTTACACCCTGTGTTTGAGACAACGTGTACCCTCTCTGCCAAGGGCCACCCCTCTGTTTACCTTTTCTACAGAAGAGCTAAGAGGTCTGGATGCCAACTACCTGCAAGTTTATTTCATAATGTGCCCAGAAAATGAGGAAAGTCCTTGCCCATTCTGTTGATTTTCAGACCTTTCTCATTGTGTAGAAGCTGGTATCAGGAAATAATTTGTTGGTCAAATAGCTCCAGCCTCCTTTCTAAAAATGTTCCTTTCTTCCCTTGTTAGAACCTCCTGTTTTTAGCAGGAAGCCCTCTCCAGTAGACATGCTCAAAGGAACTGAGGTTAGCCTGGAATGCGAGATTTCAGGAACACCACCATTTGACGTTACCTGGTACAAAGACAGGAGGCAAATCCGCAGTAGTAAGAAGTATAAGGTTACAGCCAAAAACTACCATACCAGCGTTCGCATTCTTAATGTTGAAGCTGCAGATGTGGGTGAATATCAGTGCAAAGCACAGAATGATGTAGGAAGTGACACTTGTTTTTGCACTGTGAAGCTGAAAGGTAAAGTATTGACACATATGATATGCCTTCTGCAGTGGTCCCGATGACACTGCATTGCTCTTCTTTGCATAGACACTGTAAGTATTTACTATAACTGTGTATTTCTTCTCCAGAACCACCAAAATTCTTGACTAAAATAAACAGTGTGACTGTTGTCGTTGGTGAACCAGTGGAGTTACAAGCAAGAGTGGAGGGCTCCCAGCCAATTTCTGTGCAGTGGCTTAAAGACAAAGAGGAAATTATTAGAGAAAGTGAAAACACGAAGATCACATTTATGGAAAATATTGCAACTTTACAACTTGTGCACACAGAGACAAGCAGTGCTGGAAAATACATCTGTCAAATAAGAAATGATGCTGGAAGTCGAGAGTGCATGGCTACCTTAAGTATTCTAGGTTGGTAGAAAGCACAGGTTCATAACAGGGTTGCTTTTTTTAAGTTAGGAATTTGGTTGTTTAGTGTTGGCTGTATGATTTGCTTATTCCATGAGTTTACAACAATCAAAACAGATTTCTTGTATCCGCAACAAGCAATAGACAGGTTCCTTATTTTCAGTTGCCCAAGGATAGGGGTGAGAGGAACCACACGCCTCTAGATGGTTATGGGATCCAGCTGACTGGATTTCTAAGTCATGTCTTCTGCTCATGTCTGCTTAGAGAGGGATGAACAGCTGCATTTTTCTCCTGGGAGTTTAAAAATTTTTTTACTTTATTTTGGAGAGCATCTGAAATCTCCAGTTTAGAGTAGAACAAAGGGTGTAAAAAAAAAGAAGAGCTGAAGAATTCCCCAGCCCTAAAACCTGGGGTATCCCTAGAATCAAATGTGTAAGCCCCATCTTACAATGCTATAATACAGCTAGTACTACTTAATTCCTGTGTTCACTATACATGTTACCCATCTCTCCTTCCAGAGCCTGCAGTCATTGTAGAGAAAGCAGAACCAATGAGAGTTACTATAGGAGACGCCTGTACTTTGGAGTGCAAAGTGGCAGGCACACCGGAGCTTTCCACTGGGTGGTTCAAGGATGGCAAAGAGCTGACCAGCAGCCAGAAATACAGAATTACTTTCCTCAATAAAGTATCTACGCTTAAAATTATGGATGCAGAAAAGGAAGATGCTGGATTGTACACTTTTGCAGTGCAGAACGATGTGGGAAAAAGCAGTTGCACAGCATCAGTTGATGTTTTAGGTTGGTTGGGTAGCTGGTTTTGTGTCTTTTACAAAAACTTTTGCTCAGTCATGTTCTCCTTTCTTTCTCCCATTCCTTCCTTCCTTCCTTTTCTTTCTAACCATGGATTTACTATGTTTTCTTATGCAGATCGAATCATTCCTCCTTCTTTCATAAGAAAATTGAAGGAAACTCCTTGTGTCCTGGGTTCCTCAGCATTGCTGGAATGCAAAGTGTTGGGTTCACCTCCTATTTCTATTGCTTGGTTCCGAAATGGACTTAAGTTAGTTAGCGGGGAAAAACATCAGATCTCCTTTTCAGATAACCTTTGTATTTTGGAAGTGAATTCACTGAGTGACTCAGATGCTGGAACTTACACCTGCAAAGCTACCAACATAGCTGGTTCAGATGAATGCAGTGCTGTATTGACTGTACAAGGTCAGTATAAGGTGGTCAGGAAGCTCTCTAAGCTATTCTTTTCTCTTTCTCTTGACATTACCTATGGTCTTTTGTAAATATACTTGGGGAAAATTACTGATGGCGAAAATAAAGATTGTGTTCTTTATCTTCAGTAGGTGTGTGGAAATGCCAGGATTATGCTGTAGCAATCTGTCTTACCTCTCTTTTTCTCTTGTGTGTTTAGAACCACCTTCTTTTGAGAGAACACCAGAGGCTCTGGATGTCTTGCCAGGCACAAGCATCACTTTTACATATGTTATCAGAGGAACCCCACCTTTTAAGGTGAACTGGTTTAAAGGGTCCAATGAGCTTGTGCCAGGGGACAAATGCAATATCTACTTGGAGGACTCCATTGTGGAGCTTGAGTTATTTGATGTAACTCCTCTCCAAAGTGGAGAATACACTTGTCTAGTGACTAACGATGCTGGCAGGGCAAATTGTACAACACACCTTACAGTAAAAGGTTTGTAAAGATAGCATCTCTCTATTTACCTTAAAACATTGTTTTCTTCCCTCTGTTACCCTGTTGTGCTCAACATTTGTGATTTCTTACCCTTTGTTAGAGCCAGCAATCTTTGTGAAGAAACTGAGTGACCAGTATGTAGAGCCTGGCAAGCCCATCATCCTGGAGGGCACTTACATAGGCAGCCTGCCCATCTCTGTGACATGGAAGAAGAATGGCCACACCATCACTCAATCTCAGAAGTGTAGCATCACCACCACAGAGAAATCCTGCATCCTGGAAATACTTGACAGCACCAAAGAGGATGCAGGAGAATACACTTGCCATGTTGAAAATGAGGCAGGAAGAGATATTTGTGGGGCTGTAGTCTCTACTCTAGGTGTGTGCTCTGTTTGCTTCTTTTTCTTGCTTGTTTTTTCAAGTGTAAGCCTTGCAAGGCCTGGCACTATAATGAGTCTAAATGCTTCTCTTTTTTAGAACCTCCCTATTTTGTTACACAGTTGGAATCTCTTGAGGTGTCAGTTGGGGATTACACAACATTGCAATGCCACGTAGGTGGAACACCAGAAATCACTGTGTCTTGGTACAAAGGTGATACAAAACTCAGGTCTACTCCTGAGTACAAAGTGTTCTTTAAAGACAACGTTGCTACGCTTATCTTCAACAAAGCAGTTAGCAACGACAGTGGAGAATATATCTGCAAAGCTGAAAACAGTGTAGGAACTGCGTCTACAAAGGCACTCTTGACAGTTCAAGGTGATGATTTTATATTAACTTGCTACAAATTCTTTTTCTCTTACAAAATTATGTAAAAAACCTGTTTCCTGGGGCATATTTATCCTTCACTTGCTTTCTTCTAGAGCGCAAACGACCACCTTCCTTTGCAAGAAAATTAAAGGACATCGAGCACCCTGTTGGATTACCCCTTAAATTTATGTGTCGGCTCAATGGCTCAGAACCCATTACTGTGGCTTGGCATAAAGATGGTGTGCTGCTAAGTGATGACCACAATGTGCACACGTCCTTTGTAGATAATGTTGCAGTGCTGCAACTGGTGCGAACCGAGATGAATCATACTGGGCAGTACTCCTGCACAGCCACCAATGCTGTGGGCACTGCCACCTCAAGTGCTAGGCTTACAGTGGCAGGTGTGTTGGCTTACAAAACTTTTGCCTGGACCACAGGCTACTCCTTCCTGTTTCATGCATGTGATGGTATCAGTGTGTTAGGTTAGTTTTTTTCATGAAGTATGAGTATTACATGGTTTTCTTGTGTTTCTAGAACCCAAGCAAGCACCTGTGTTTGACACCAAGCCAGAATCTATTGATGTGCCTTTTGGAGAAACTGCCGATTTTGAATGCCATGTTACTGGAGCCCAGCCAATACATATCACCTGGTCCAAGGATGGTAGGGAGATCCGAACGGGAGGAAACTTCAATATTTCATTTGTAGCCAACACAGCTCACCTTCGTGTGCTCAGAGTGGGTAAAGGAGACTCTGGCCAATATACTTGCCAAGCTAGTAATGAAGTTGGTAAAGACTTCTGCTCAGCCCAACTCTGTGTCAAAGGTAATGTCACCTACGTTTGTTTGTTTTCTTCTACTTGGGTCAACAGCCCTCTTTGTTACTGAGTTTCATCTTCCACCTGTTCCAGTTTGGAATTATCAGAAAGCAGTTTTCCAGAAAGCAGACATGTGGCGACCTTCTCCTGTCATACCGCATGACATTAGAAGCCTTGCGTGCCTGAAAAATCACCAAGAGGAAAGGTCCCCTTGTGAAGCTCTTTGAATGGGGAATTGGACTCAACTACTTTTTACTTTGTCATTAGTGCTTAAACTACAGTCAGAGTGTTATTTGTATGTAGCTTAAACTACAGTCAGAGTGTTATTTGCATGTAGCAAGTACTATGTGGTGATACAGTAAATACAACTACTTTGCATCTATAGGCCAACATTGGTGACAATCAAATTTGCTAAGGATTTCAATTGGAGTTCTGAAATGCTGATTAATCTAGACTATGAATCACTTAAATTCTTCGTGCATAAATACGCTTTAAAGATTTCTAAGCAAGTGAAACTATTCCTACCGTGTTTCTGCTGCTCCTATGGGTGAAGGGCTTGTCAAATCTTTCATGCTGGCCTGGGGGTATTTTCACCCCTCAAAGGTAATAGAAAAATTTCCTTGGGTGTTGCAATCATCCTTCTTGTGTTTTTACAGTTCCAGATGGCACATTAGGCTCCAGAGTTGGCAGAATGCCATTTTAGTTGCTGTCTTTGCCTTCTTTTCTCTATCTTTCTTGAGAGGAAACTCTGGTTGGGGATACAACCAACTGCTATAGCAAGCTTACTTTCTTGTGCTGCAATACTCTTGTGCTCCCCATAACTCTTTCTCAGTCCTGTAGATTTCACATGGCAAACAGGTATGCTGTCACTCTTTACATACTTACTCTATTCTGCAGAACCTCCCAAGTTCATCAAGAAGCCTGAAGCCTTGCAGTTCGTGAAGCAGGGGGACACAGTTCAACTTGAATGTAAAATCAGTGGAACACCAGAGATCAGAACTGTGTGGTACAAAAATGATCAGACACTCCAGGCAAACGACAGGCTTCACATGTCCTTTGTAGACTCCGTGGCAATACTAACCATCTTGGATGCCAACACTGAAGATGCTGGTGATTACATATGCGAAGCCCAGAACTCTGCTGGCACAGCCAGCTGCAGCACTTCAGTCACAGTGAAAGGTTAGCAGCACGGCTCCACACACTGCCAGAATCCTTGGCTTCTGGGCCCTCTTCCAGTTGCACATCCCTCTGGACAGGGAGCTGTTGCTATGGCAGTTGATGGCTGCTGGGGCAGTTTCTCTCCAGCTCCTCTCATATTCAAATGCTGCTGTGTTTAAGCAGCAGAGATGAGGCAGGAAATAGTGGTGGGTGTTCAGCATTGTGCAGCCATTCTCTTGTCTTCTCCTTTAAGTCAATTACAAGCTGAATAAGGCAAGCTTGTCAGGCCTCAAGGGGAGCATGGACATGAACACCAGCCATGGTGAGGAAGCTGGGCATACTGTACAGCCACCCCTCTGCCTCCTCTTTATACACAGTGATCCTGGCAGGAATGAAATTTTAAACGGAAGAGGAGGCTGTGTTGCTGAGCCTCACTGATGGTAGCTTTTATGACTGTAAAGAGGCGTGCAAAAACTGGAATGTGGTCCTGGAGAGTGGCTTTTGGGGAGGGGCAATGAACACTGACTCCAAACAGGCACAGAAGCATCATATTTCTGCCCTTGAGTCTCTGAGTGCTGGGTTGGCTTGCTGGAAGATGCCAGGGACTCAGCATTTTTTAGAGGTGACACCACATATTTGGAAGCTAAATATGGGTTTACAAGACTAAGTATAGGCCCCCTTCCTGAATATGTTGCCTCTTGCTATTATCCAGAAACCCACTCAGGGAAGCAGGCTCACACATCATATGTGATTCTTTCTTTATAGAACCACCTGTTTTTAGCAAGGTGCCAAGCCCTGTTGACACACTTAAAGGCTCAGATGTTATCCTCCAGTGTGAGATAGCAGGGACTCCACCCTTTGAGGTTGCTTGGTTCAAGGACCGGAGGCAGGTCAGGAGCAGCAAGAAGTTCAAGGTGACAGCAAAGCACTCCGTTGCCAGTCTTCATATTCTCAGTCTGGAAGCTCAAGATACTGGAGAATATCAGTGCAAAGCTATGAATGAGGTGGGAAGTGACACTTGCATCTGCCCAGTGAAATTCAAAGGTTTGTATGCTAGAGGATCAGCAGCATCACCACCCTGTCTTTTTGATTTCCTGGGTGTGTCTCTCTTCCAAGCAGGCATGTATCATTAACTTTCCTCTGCCTCATTGTTTTACTGATCAGAACCTCCACGCTTTGCCAAGAAGCTGAGCGACACTGCAATCTTCGTTGGGGAGCCGACAGCCCTTCAGGCAGTGGTGGAAGGATCCCCACCAATTTCTGTCATCTGGCTCAAGGACAAGGGTGAAGTTATTAGGGAGAGCAAAAACGTCCAAATGTGGTTTATGGACAACATTGCAACTCTTGAGATTGCCAGTGCAGAAGGAGCTGATGTTGGAAAGTACATCTGTCAGATCAAAAATGATGCTGGCATGCGGGAGTGCTCTGCCTTTTTGCAAGTCCTAGGTGGGTATAAGCCTGCTTCACAACTACTGTATCTTACACCTTGCACAATTGCCTTTACCAGTCTTTGTTTTCTGCATATACCATGTGCTCACTGTTTTGTGATAGATATCCTGGTGACACACTGACCCTTACCTTCCTATTTCAGAACCAGCAGTCATCTTAGAGAGGACTGAGCCAATCACAGTAATGGCTGGCAATCCTTTTACATTAGAGTGCAAAGTAGGAGGAACACCAGAACTTATCACCAAGTGGTACAAAGATGGCAGAGAACTAAGGAGTGGCCGCAAATACCAGATTACCTTTTTCAACAATATATCCACTTTGAAAGTCTTTTCTGCAGACAGGGAAGACAGCGGCTTGTATACTTTTGAGGTGCACAATGAGGTGGGGGACAGCAGCTTCATTTCTTCAGTTGATGTTTCAGGTCAGCTCTGTCTTTGTTATTCACACTTGTCTTTAAAAAAAGCATTTTTCTTTTTCCTCTTTCCTTTCTCCTTGAAAAAAGAAATAATTCCAAACACTTTTCTTTCTATTCTTCTGCCCTGTCCTGCTTAGATCGCCTTGTTCCTCCTTCATTCTCAAGAAAACTAAAGGAAACAAATGGGGTGCTGGGATCCTCAGTGCTTCTGGAGTGCAAAGTGTCTGGCACATCCCCCATATCTGTGTCCTGGTATCAGGATGGGAATGAGATTGTTAGTGGAGAAAAATATGAAATCTCATTCTTGGATAATGTTTGTGCTTTAAAGCTGAATGCCCTGGATGTCACAGATACAGGACCATATACCTGTGTGGCAAACAATGTGGCTGGATCAGATGAATGCAGTGCCTTCTTGACTGTACAAGGTCAGTGGAAGGATACTACAGCCCTTCAACAAAATTCTGCTTCCCTCTTCTCTTTCTTCCCTCAGGTTTCCTATGGTCTCTTTTCTTTTATTTTTTTTTCCCCTTTTCTCCCTCTTTCTCTCTCCTTTTTTTTTTTTTTTGATTCAAATCTACTCCAGTTTTCCTTCTCCAGAGAGTCTCCTATTAACATCTTTCTTCCTCTTCACTCTTTTGCATGATCCTTAGAACCACCTTCTTTTGTGAAGATACCTGATCCCCAGGAAGTTTTGCCCAGATCAAGTGTGACATTCAGCACCTATATCAAGGGCAGTACTCCCTTCAAAGTGACCTGGTTCCGAGGCATCAGGGAGCTGGTGCCAGATAGCAACTGCTCCATCTCACTGGACGAGTCTGTGGCAGAGCTGAAGTTGTACAATGTGGAGCCAGGCCACAGTGGGGACTACGCCTGCGTTGTCACGAATGATGCCGGGAGTGCCTCATGCACAACCCAACTTTTTGTGAAAGGTGTGTTTGTGTGTGTGCATGTACACACAGGTATACCCCTTCATACTCTGCCTTCAGCCCTGCCACATCTGTCCCTCTCACTGTTGACCTATGCCTCCTCACAGAGCCTGCAGTATTTACAAAGAAATTAAGTGATTTCAGTGTGGAGCAGGGGAAGTCCATTGTGTTGGAAATCAGCTACACAGGCACCCCTTCCATCTCTGTTACCTGGAAAAGAAATGGCATGCCCATTGCTCAGTCTCCACGCTGCAGTGTTACGACTACTGACAAATCTGGAATTCTGGAAATCTTCAACAGCACCAAGAGCGATGAAGGAGAATACACCTGTGAGGTGGCAAATGAGGCAGGTGGAGATGTTTGCCACAACCTTGTATCTGTCTTAGGTATGCAGCACTCCTGATCCCCCTAAGGGACTTTGGTGATGCTCTGCATCTGCTCACCATGCTCTCTCCTTCCCTAGAACCACCCTTTTTTGTCACGCACTTGGACCGTGTGGAGGTGAAGGTTGGAGAGCCCTTGATCTTAAAATGCCAGATTGGTGGTGCGCCAGAAATCAAGGTGTCCTGGTACAAAGATGACACCAAGCTCAGATCAACACAGGCTTACAAAATGCACTTCAAGAATAATGTGGCAACACTGGCATTCTCCACCATAGACGATAGTGACATTGGAGAATATACCTGCAAAGCAGAAAACAGCGTTGGCTTTGCCACCTCCACAGCTCTGCTTGTCATTATTTTTTTTTTCCAGGGGTAGTTTGTAGGAACTCTTCGTTATGTACAGAAAGGGGTTCTTATTAATTTCAGAGTTAATTAATTCTAGATTAACAGTGTGGCTTCCTACTTATTGTGGTGATTATTATTATTTTGCAGAACGGCAACTTCCACCTACATTCTCCAGAAAACTGAAAGATATTCAGGAGGCCGTTGGTGCCCCAGTGACATTTGATTGCCGCATAAATGGCTCAGAGCCTATCCAGGTGTCTTGGTACAAGGATGGGGTTCTCTTAAGTGACAGTGATAACATGCAATCAGCCTTCTTAAATAATGTTGCGACTCTACAGATCTTGCAAACTAGTATGGCTCACTGTGGCCAATATACTTGCTCAGCCAAAAACGTTCTGGGGACTGCATCTTCTAGTGCCAAACTTCACCTCACAGGTTTGTAGCTTACACTTAAAGATGTCTTTGTATGTCTTTGCTCTTCTATTTCTTCACTCTTTTCCCTACTTTACTTATTGTATGGTGGCCACAGAGCATGAGCATGGCATGGTGAGGTGTGTGTTGAGGAGGGCTCTATGATGAGCTCTGCCATGCTTTCCTCTTTGCAGAACACCTACAACCTCCCTTCTTTGACATCAAGCCAGTATCCGTTGATGTAGCACTAGGAGAAAGTGCAACTTTTAAGTGCCACATGACTGGCTCTGCTCCCATGAAGATTACTTGGACAAGAGACAACAGACAGATTCGCCCAGGTGGCAACTACAAGATGACACTGGTGGAAAACACGGCCAGCTTGACAGTCCTAAAAGTTGGTAAAGGGGATGCTGGACTCTACACATGTACTGCCAGCAACAGTGTTGGAAAGGATGCATGCGCAGCTCAGCTGGCTGTACAAGGTATTGTTGTGAGCTTTAGTGTCCATGAGGCTTTTCTTTGCAAGGGAGACATCTGGAGAACAAAGCCTTGAATACAGACATGTGTAAGACTAACAACCTGTATAAGAGGCTGCACTGTGATGTCTTATTTCATTTAAACATTGTTGTAACACTTAAGTACTTATTAATCTTTTTACTGGTACGGTGCGTGATTTTTTTTATCAAAGGGATTCTTTCATTGAAATGTTATATCTGACTTACAACCTTGTTGTGCCTTTATGAATGGCTGTGTTGCCCAGCAAAAGCTGTCTTTCTTTGAGTCTTCCTCTATTCACTAAGTTGCCCGGGGGAGGGAAAGGTAACTGAGGGGGGAAGCTCAGTTAACTTATGAGACTTCAATGTATTTTACTGCGTGTGCAGCTCTTGCAAATAGTTTTACCCTTCCACAGACCAGAAACATTGAAAACTGCTGTTCTAGACAGCAAAATTGGAGGATCTGAGAGTACACTTGGTGACAAATATCCATTCTTCCAACACTTTGCTTCTCCATATAGTGTGTGGGTTTTATACTTTCAATCATCTAAATTTATGACTGGATCAAACTGTCTTGGCACAAGTGACACTAGCATATTCGAGTAATTTCCTCAGTGTAGGTGGGAACACAGGATTTGTTTATAGCTGTTCCGGATATCCCATACTTACTGATTTTATAAAAGAAAGAATGTAAAATGCACCTCTTAAATTATGCATGAGTTCAAATGTCCTGCTCATTTAGCTCTGTTTTTGGGGTTTTTTTTCCCCTCTGTATGAACTTTTTTGGGGAAAAAAAAAAAAAGACCACAAAAAACATTTCAAGGGTAAATACTATGCCTTTTATTCTGTAAGACAAATAACACAAGAAGCTGAACTACCACTAGCAAAATTTCTAATAATTGCTTGTCAAATGTGTTACATATGTATATCTAGAGAATATTCTATCCATAGGGATTTTTTCTTGGTGGGGGCAGAAAGAATGTGTCAGACTGAAATACTTGTGGGTTCAGTGAAAAGTAGGGATGCTGTTAATATGTAGTTTGACTTACAAAAATCGTTAAAGGACTGTAGCAAGAAACCTAACCTCTTTAAAAGATTTAAAGCTTGTTTCCATCACAATCACAATTCTGTTTATTATTAATGATGACATTACTGATAAGTTTATTTGACTAGAGTTACCATTCATAAGAAGATCCTGACTTCAAATGTTTTCTTACTCTTCAACTCTTTATTCATAAAATCCTGATTTCCGCCCCCCCCCCCCCCATAATGATTCACTTTTTTGATCCTGAACTTACACTGGCATTGACTTCAGTCCTTTCAAATTTGTACAGTTTCCCCAGGGAAACTGTAAAATTAATGGCATTCATTGTTTGTCAGCCATTTTCTATAGAACTTAGAAGAGAAAGCTCTTTTGTGTATCTATTTGTGTGTGTTTAATTTAAGCAGATGCCGTCTCATTTCTATAACGCACATCCTTTTGTTTATAGAATTCAGTTCTTTTATTAAGTGACCTCAGCATTTTCCCAGAGTTTTATTAATTTTCACACTTTAACATCTGAAGTTCTCACTCTGTACTTTTAACAATTACTTTAAGTTATAGAAACTGCTTTACATTCTAAGTATATACTAACTTGTATATCCTCATTTTTGGCAATACATCCCTATTTTTGGTAAGGAATGGAATTAGACTGTGACTACTCAGCAACTGTTAGTATGCAGACAGATAATCACCTCTTTGCCAAAGTGAAATCTGATAATGCAAAGGTTCCAAGAGTCCTTATGAAACAAACCATCATTTCTATTTTTAGAAACTAAGGAAGTTTTGTTACTAACAACATAGGATGTTCTGCAAATGTCATACAGGTTGAAGTAACCCACAATAAAATAGATATTCTTCCTACACTTTACAGACAGATGTACAAAGAGGCACTTCATCCTGTTTTGCAGGGAGATTTGTTGTGCCCACGTTACCACCTCTTGGGTTTACTAGTCATATCTTTGATCTATGAGCATTCAGTCTTGTGATTCTGAATCATGCATACAGTACTTTTGATGAAAAGTGATAAACCTCCACTTCTTTCTCTCCTTACAGAAAAAAATCTGTTACTTTTCATTCACAGGATCTTTAACACTAATTTCTTTAATACCAGCCATCTCATAATTCTTCCCACCATTATTATTTTAAACCTGTATTATTTGCTACCTAATCTCCTTGACTTCTATTCCTTATATGCACCTTTGGCTTTGCCATAAATTTGTGAAGTGTTACCATGCAGGTACATTTATTGACTGTATCAATTATTAATGAGATTTAAGTTATAGAGCAGTTGCTATAATGCTCAGCATAAATGCTCTTAATAATATTACTTGGCTGAACAGTAAGGATTCTTGCATTCCATCAGGCATTTTGATTACTCATGTATTGCTAAAGGAAATTACTTAAAGAAAACCACACATCAGTTGATCTGTGCTGAATACATGGGAGAAGTAGAGTGGGACAAAAAAGTAAGGAGAAACTAGCTGAAATGAATGTAGAGAGCTAGTTTGCTTCCTAAATAAAGGAAACTTAAAATAATCTTAAAAAAATCATAGCAATTACAAAATTAAAATGTTTGCATAAGTCCAGAAAGTTTACATTTCCTCTTAGATATTTCCTTGCTTATTCAAAGAATCAGTGCAGTTTAAAGCAACATCTCCACTTTTTGGCTTTCCAGAACCACCAAGGTTTATTAAGAAACTAGACTCCTCAAGACTTGTGAAACAGAATGATTCCACAAAGTATGAATGCAAAATAGGTGGATCTCCGGAAATCAAAGTCACCTGGTACAAAGGTGAAACTGAGATCCATCCCAGTGAAAAATACAGAATGTCCTTTGTGGATTCAGTGGCAGTCATTGAAATGTACAACCTCAGTGTTGAAGACAGTGGTGACTACACTTGTGAAGCTCAGAATCCGGCGGGTAGTGCAAGCACCAGTACCTCACTGAAAGTAAAAGGTCAGAAACACAGTTCTTTCCTTACCTTTCTATCTCTATGAGTGCCCCTTTGTGGAAAAGCTCCCACTTTCTTTAGTCAGAGAGACCAAAACATGTTTGAATAGAGGGCAAATCTCTTGCCTGTTTGTTATACTGTGGGATATCTATCTTAATTATGGGTTTGTCTTTGCTGTTCAGCATCAGAATGGCTACTCAAATACTCTGTCCTCATTAACCTCCTTTGCTCAAATAACTCAAAATTTACTCACCCCCCTTTTTTTTTCCAGCACCCCCCATTTTTACCAAGAAGCCCCATCCAGTCGAGACCTTGAAAGGGTCTGATATTCACCTGGAATGTGAGCTTCAGGGCACTCCTCCATTCCAGATTTCGTGGTATAAAGACAAACGAGAAATTCGGAGCAGCAAGAAGTATAAGGTCATGTCTGAAAACTACCTAGCTAGTATTCACATTCTCAGTGTGGATACTGTAGATGTTGGTGAATATCACTGTAAAGCTGTAAATGATGTGGGAAGCGATTCCTGTACTGGCTCTGTAACACTAAGAGGTTTGTATAAAGATTGGCATCTTCTTGGCATTATATTGTTCCTGTCATTCTCCTCCTACTTTGCCACTACTGGCACGATTTTTTTACTGCTAAATATCTTCTTTTAAATAGCACCACCAACCTTTGTGAAGAAGCTGAGTGATCTCACTGTTGTAGCTGGGGAGTCAATTGAACTGCAGGCTGCAGTAGAAGGATCACATCCCATTTCTGTTCTGTGGTTAAAAGACAAAGGGGAAATCATCAGAGAAAGTGATAATCTTTGGATTTCCTATTCAGAAAACATTGCGACTATGCGGATTGGAAATGCAGAACCAGCCAATGCTGGGAAATACGTTTGTCAGATAAAAAATGATGCTGGAGTTCAGGAATGCTGTGCCACACTGAAGGTTCTAGGTTGGTAGCATGAGATAAAAAAACCACAATGTGGTTTACTATATTTTAAAATTCCAATTTTTATGATACTAATAATTATTGCATTGTTGGTTTTAAAATATTTGTGACTTGCATCTCATTGCAGAACCTGCAGTCATTATAGAGAAGCCAGGCCCAGTCAAAGTCACAGCAGGAGACTCGTGTACTCTGGAATGCACAGTAGATGGCACACCAGAGCTTACTGCTAGGTGGTTTAAGGACGGGAATGAACTGTCCACTGACCATAAATACAAAATCAATTTCTTCAATAAAGTATCTGGGCTTAAGATCCTCAATGCAAGACTAGAAGACAGTGGAGAATATACTTTTGAGGTGAAAAACAGTGTTGGTAAAAGCAGCTGCACAGCTTCAGTGCACGTCTCAGGTTAGTTGACTATTCTTTTTGATCCTACAGTTCCTTTATAATGCCTTCAGATAGCAAACTGATTCTCAAGATGGCAGCCTGAGAGACTCATTGTTTGTATAATCTTAGGAGTACTTGGCATGCCACTTAGACAGACATTAAGAATGGACACCTATCTAACTTCTGAGGGGCAGTCGTTGCAAGGGCTTGATTTCTTTGGCTTTAATCTACATGTCTTCTTGGACAACTGGTGCAATATTTTTGCTTGTGAAAAAGCAATGCAAAAATAAAAGGTGTCCCTCAAAAATGTGAATGAAAGTCCCAACATATCCTTAACTATCAACTACCTATTTTTTGATGACTTAGGTGTGTAGGAACAGGTTGCTTAAGCAGATGTATCAAAAGAAATGTCACTGATTTTCTTATGCATGGGGAACTTTCTGCATTTTAAGCTCCATTATGGTATTTAATTTTTTTTTTTTTTCAATCTAAAAAACAAAAATGCAGATCGTATCATACCTCCTTCTTTCACAAGAAAATTGAAAGAAACATATGGTCAGCTCGGTTCTTCTGCTGTACTGGAGTGCAAAGTTTATGGATCACCACCTATTCTTGTTTCCTGGTTTCATGACGGAGAGGAGATTATCAGTGGAGACAAGTATCAGGCTACTCTTACAGACAATACCTGTTCTCTGAAAGTGAACGGACTTCAGGAATCTGATATGGGAACTTATTTGTGCACAGCTAGTAATGTAGCTGGGTCTGATGAATGCAGCGCATTTTTGAGTGTTAGAGGTCAGTATCAATAAGAAGCCAGAGTCAGAGGGCACAAATATATTTTCAGAAAGACTTAATTTTTTGCTCTGTACATATTTCTTATTATGCTCTTCATTAGAAGTTGAAATGTACTTCTGTTTTATTTGCATGCTTAGAACCACCATCTTTTGTGAAGAAACCTGAACCACTGAATGTTTTATCTGGGGCAAACATAACCTTTACCAGTATCATAAAAGGCTCCTCTCCATTGGAAGTCAAATGGTTTAGAGGTAGTGTTGAGCTAACACCAGGACACAAATGCAATATCACCTTGCAAGATTCAATTGCAGAACTGGAGCTATTTGATGTACATCCGTTTCAGAGTGGAGACTACACTTGTCAGGTCTCTAACGAGGCAGGGAAGATTTCTTGCACAACACATCTTTTTGTCAAAGGTTTGTCCAGACTACTATTTCTTCTGCTTCTAAAAATGATATCTTGGCTTTATTTAATTTGTTTTCTTCCCATTGCTCATTATAGAACCAGCCAAATTTGTGAAGAAGGTGAACGATTTAAGTGTAGAGAAAGGAAAAAATTTAATCTTGGAATGCACATATATGGGTACTCCACCAATTTCAGTGACATGGAAGAAAAATGGAGTAAAAATAATGCACTCTGAAAGGTGTAGCATCACCACTACAGAAACATCTGCCATACTGGAAATACCTAATAGCAAACTAGAAGATCAGGGGCAATATTCTTGTCATATTGAAAATGATTCTGGACAAGATAATTGTCATGGTGCAATCACAGTACTAGGTGCGTCAAGCCACTATTACTTCATAAAGTGTTATTTGAACTACTGATGGTCATTGTGCAATACTTTTTTGTGCTAACGGTGTATATTTGTTCTTCAGAACCCCCTTACTTCATTACACCCTTGGAGCCAGTGCAGGTGACTGTTGGGGATTCTGCATCCTTACAGTGCCAGGTTGCTGGAACACCAGAAATGATTGTATCATGGTACAAAGGCGATACAAAGCTGAGAGGAACTGCTACTATGAAAATGCATTTTAAAAACCAAGTTGCCACTCTGGTTTTCAGCCAGGTAGACAGTAATGACAGTGGGGACTACATCTGCAAAGTTGAAAATGCTGTTGGGGAGGCTGCTTCATCATCTTTGCTGACAGTTCAAGGTGAATATTTAATTTAAAAACATAGGAAAATAGTGAATTTTTCTTAAGTATGTTTGCTATTTCAAAAGGAAAAAAAAAGATCAACCCAAGATTACCTTGTCCATGTTAAACACTTTACGGTTTCTTGACTTGTCTTGTCCCTCTGTTACTGTCTTCTCTTAACAAAGGTCTACCAGAGAAGCTAATCAAAATATGTCTCTTATTGACCACAGCTCTTCTATAGAGATACAAGCTTCTGTATCTTCCTTTCCCGTTGAGGATGTTTCTTTGATTGTTTCTACCATTAGCAGTCCTAAGGTTTTTATAGGGTCACTGAGTGTAATTGATGGCAGAATGGTTATATATTTTTCGTGAAAGCATATGCACAGTTCTCTTTTCACATCAGGTTCCAAATAAATGATATGCAGAATAAAATTTTTAATCAGAAATTTCAAGTAAAAATCCAGCATACTCTACAATATATTAGGCAGTGAATATTGTTGACTACAACATATCTTCTGAAAACCTTCATTGTACAATACCTGTTTTCTTACAGAGCGTAAACTTCCTCCTTCTTTTATGCGAAAATTAAGAGATGTCCATGAAACTGTTGGCTTACCAGTTACGTTTGATTGTGGCATTACTGGTTCAGAACCTATAGAAGTATCTTGGTTTAAAGACGGTGTACGCGTAAAAGAAGACTACAATGTTCATACATCCTTCGTAGATAATGTAGCAATTCTTCAGATTTTGAAGACAGATAGGAGTCTTATAGGGCAATATACCTGCACAGCTACCAATGCAATTGGGACAGCTTCTTCTAGTGGCAGGCTTGTCCTTACAGGTCAGTGGGCTATGAAATATATAATGGAAATATCTCAAAACTAACTTTATATTTGGATTTAATATTGTACAAATTATATTTATTTCACATAGGTTTAAAGCAAATCAGGATTTTAAACTGATGTTTTTTTATTTATTTCACTCTTCAGAAGGGAAGACTCTTCCATTTTTTGATGTTCCAATTATACCTGTGGATGGTATTATTGGAGAAAGTGCTGACTTTGAGTGTCACATCTCTGGAACACAGCCTATCAAAGTCACATGGGCAAAAGATAACCAAGAGATTAGAACAGGAAGAAACTACCAAATCAGTTATGTAGACAACACAGCTCACTTGACGATCTTGAGAGTTGACAGGGGAGACTCTGGACAGTATACATGCTATGCTAGCAATGAAGTTGGAAAGGAGTCTTGCACAGCTCAGCTGACTGTTAAAGGTATTGAATAGATAATACATTGCGTGTACATTTTTCTGTCTTTAATTATAAAGGACATTAGCCTTATTGCTGCAAGATAAGTTTGAGAAAAACTTTTGAGATATATCTTGAAAGTACCTGGAGATACCTATAGGTCTACTGAAGGGGGTTAAGATTGGTCACAAACAATAACGGGAGGAGAAATGAATGAATATTTTCTTTGGACTAATTTCTTTATAGGCTTTGGCCTGTTTCTTTCTTGAGAACTCGACAAAAATCTTGGGTTTTTTATATGACGTTTGAAGTAAATCCATGTAAGAGGATTTTTTTCAACTATGACAGTGACCATAAGAGCAAGACACCTGCTGTTTATCTTAGCATGCTTTCACTTAAAAAAACCCAAATATCCTGTTTAAATGAGAGCAAGTATCAATTCCCCAGTGATGAATTTTTTCTTGAAATATTTTCTTTAGAATTTTCCATTTTCATTTGATTCAAAGAATGTGAATAAGATGTTCTTTTTTCTTTTTTCTTTTTTTTCAGAACGAAAATCTCCACCTACTTTCACTAAGAAACTGTCTGAAGCAGTAGAAGAAACAGAAGGGAATGAACTTAAACTTGAGGGTCATGTTGCCGGCTCTCAGCCTTTGACTGTTGCTTGGTATAAAAACAATCAAGAAGTTCATTCAAGCCCTCATTGTGAAATATTTTTCAAAAATAACACCTTAATTTTGCACATAAAGTGCGTAGAGCAATCAGATGCTGGTTTATATACCTGTAAAGTGTCCAATGAAGCAGGAAGCGTGTTGTGTACGTCTTCTGTTGTTATCAGAGGTTAGTTGAAGTCTTATTTTACTTTGCTTCTTACTTCTCTTTGTCGCATGTTAGATGAAAACATACAGCTTCTATCTTATGAGCTGGTTTTACTTACCTTAACTTGTCCAGCAGTAATTTGTCCTGAGATGGACAGATTAAACTGAGTTAAACCACAAAATCAAGGAATTCTTTTAATTTTTTTTATTAAAATAAAACATTTTTTTTCAAGGAGGGGTTTCTTTTTCACTATTTGCTATGACTGACCTAAACTGAACATTGAAATCTTGGCGACATTCCTGTTGAATTTTTAATCATCCTCTTTTCATGGAAAAACGGTTTTTCTGTGCAATTACACCTAAGCTTGTGCAGCCTTGACAGTATGTTGCAGCAGCATGGCACTTCATCATAATACTATAGCAGGAGATTGCATATTTTTTTCTTTAAAGGTGCTTATATAGTTTTGCAGCCTAATAGCAGTGTTTTAATTCTTCTAGTAATTTTTGCATGTGAATGTCCTTGCTGTGTGGAGTAAAGATATTTCTTGCATGTTTGCATAGAAAACATACTGTCTTGATACTTATTCCATTTTCTAACACTATGATTGACATTCTCAGACTTCTGTTTATGCTTCTTCATTCCTTGCCATTGCCTTCTTAAAAATCACTCCTTTTCTCTTATATTCTTAATCTTACTTTCCTCCCTTGAGTATTCACTCAAGCATTTTCATATTCCAGAACCTAAAAAGCCTCCAGTTTTTGACCAGCCTCTTCAGCCAGCAGCAGCAGAGGAAGGTGATACTGTACAGCTCAGCTGCCATGTCCAAGGATCACAGCCAATCCGGATTCAGTGGCTGAAGGCAGGGAGAGAAATAAGAGCTTCAGACAGATGCAACTTCAGCTTTGCTAATGGAGTAGCTCTTCTAGAACTTGCTGCAATTACCAAATCTGATTCAGGAGAATATGTATGCAAAGCTTCAAATGCAGCTGGCACTGACACTTGCAAATCTAAAGTGACCGTTAAAGGTACAATAACATGGAGAGAATCAACATGTATGACAAAAATTTAAACCAAAATTCCATCCCATTTTGTTTTCTGTGGAACAAAAATGTTAATAATCTAACAGAAACAATTAGTATATTTTAGTTATTTGCAAAACCACAAAATCTGGGAAGACAGTATATTTGAAAAATAACTATACATAAATACGACATAAGCAGTGGGAGATCAATGTCCAATCAACACTATATTCTTCCCAAAAAGACTAAGAATTTAGTTTCTAAATCTAAACACTGAATGTATGAAAAATGCAAGCTAAATGAGTGAAATTACTTGGACACGCAAATTTTATGGAAAGGATTGGAATAGTGGTGTTAAAGAAAAAACCGAAAGAAAATACGGAAGGGATTTGATTGAGCATGTGACCTTTGAAGCTACTTGCTTCAGGACTGTTACATTTAGAACTTTTAGCTGAAAGCAAATATGGTCTGAGCACGTGTCCTTCCCTGTATGTTTTGCCTTACCCCTGCATAGAAAATGTAGGAGTTCAGTAATATGTAGAAATAGTATATTATTTACTATATGGGTAGCCACAAAGCTAACAACTGAACAAAAGAAAAAAAAAGAGAGAATTTATCAGTCACTAATAAAAAAAATGCAAATAACTTCAAGAATGAGATTTCAGAAATAGACAGAAATGAGAAAGCTCACCAAAAACTGATTCATTTTAAAAAGTGAGGCTTCTTATTTGTGTATCTATCTATGAATTTGCATCCATGCAGAATACAAATGACCTGACTGAAGTTAATGAACAGCACAGTATGGCCCACAGTGTTCAGTTTCATCTGGATAGTAAAACGCGAGTTAATTAAAACAACATAAAAGCAGTTTGCATTTTTATCTCTTGCATACTATTTGTTCCACCTTTGTAATTAATTTTTTTTTTTACCCTTGCTTTGGAAACATCATCATGCATGAACATAAATTATTACACAAAACCATCTGTTTTAATTGTTTGACTCTATCTTTTTAGAAAAACCAGCAACTGCACCAGCAGCTAAGAAAGCAGAACTTGAAGGAAAACTTTATTTTGTGTCAGAGCCTCAGAGTATCAAAGTCATGGAAAGTAAGAATTCTTTTCAAAAAGCACATTGTCTTCTATTTGCCTGTACCTTTCGTTTGAGATTATGTCCTACTCTTATAGACAGCTGGAAAGACTTAGCTTCCTCATTTGCATCTTTCTGCAGAGACTGTTGCAAAATTTATTGCAAAAGTTGGAGGAGACCCAATTCCAAATGTTAAATGGCTGAAAGGAAAATGGAGGCAACTCAACCAGGGAGGACGCATTACAATCCAGCAGACAGGAGATGAAGCCAAACTACAAATAAAGGACACAATAAAAACTGATTCTGGCATGTACAAATGCATAGCTTTTAACCAACATGGTGAAATTGAGAGGAGTGTAAACCTACAAGTTGAAGAAAGAAAGAAAGAAGTTGTTGAAGGGGATCTCAGGGCAAAACTAAAAAGGTATATGGAAAGGTTTTGTAGATTAATTTGCCATCAACACAGAAGAAACATTTTTTATTACATATCTCAGATCAAGATATATTTTTTTAATATTCATTAAATATGAATAACTCATAAAAGTAGAAGCACCGGACTAGACAAAACTAAAGGATTCTACTCCACAATGTAACTCTAAGTTGATTCATTTTTTCATTGAACAACTTTATATGAAAGAAGTATTGCATATTTAACTTATGTCATTGCTTTGAATAGCACTCCAAAAAGGAAGGAAGGAGAGGAAGAGCAACCTATTGATATCTTGGAACTTCTCAAAAATGTAGATCCCAAAGAATACGAGAAATACGCTCGCATGTATGGAATCACAGATTTCCGTGGCCTCCTTCAAGCCTTTGAGTTACTAAAGCAAACCCAAGCAGAAGAAAGCCACAGATTGGTAAGATACACTGTGACTTCAGCATTGGCTTTGTTAAGAATAACGCGGTTCCTTTGAACAGACTTGTTGTCCACACTCTGATGTTACTGTGTATGCAGGAGTTTCTGGCTCCTCTTTGGATCTTTTACAGATAGTTCTCAATTTCTTGCACACTCAAACACAAGAAGAAGGGATGGGCCTTCTGTCTGTCTTCCTAAATTGACTGCAATTTCTAAGATGAGAAGATAACGCTAGTTACAGTACAGTTACAGAAAATTTGGTGTAGGAACTAATTCCATGTTGGATAACTATGACAGCTTGACATTTAGTATTCTTTAATCTTTTAGTATATTCTGCCTTTTTACAGGAAATTGAGCTTACAGAAAGAGCTCAAAGAGAAGATCAGGAGTTTGATGAACTTGTAGCTTTTATTCAACAACGACTCTCACAAACAGAGGTAACATATTTTTGGGCTGATTTGTGAAATATTCAAACTCATAACAGGGAACTTGAAACTAATTTAAACTAATATTTTTCAGCCTATTACTCTGATCAGAGACATTGAAAATCAGACGGTTTTAACAGATGAGGATGCTATCTTTGAATGTGAGATTAAAATTAACTATCCAGAAATTAAACTTTCATGGTACAAGGGAACCCAGAAGCTGGACTCCAATGACAAATATGAAATCAGAATTGAAGGTGATCGCCACATACTGAGAATCAGGAACTGCCAACTTGAAGATCAGGGAAATTTCAGAATAGTGTGTGGGCCACACATTGCTAGTGCCAGGCTAACTGTGATTGGTAAGTGTGCTTTTGAAGCATGTATTTGAATTACATACATTTACACTTTAATTATTCCACTGTCTGATGTCTGCTAAAATGTATGTTTTAACATGCTAATAGAACCTGCAGTTGAGCGGCATCTCCATGACACTACTTTCAAGGAAGGAAACACATGCACGCTGTCATGTCAGTTCTCTATTCCAAATGCCAAATCTCAGTGGTATAGAAATGGGAGACCCATTAAGATAGGAGGGAGATATTCAACACAAGTCTCTGACAAAGTACACAAACTCATCATCAAGGATGTTAGAACAGAAGACCAGGGACAATATACCTGCAAGCTTGACAATCTAGAAACAACTGCAGATCTGGCCGTTGAAGGTTTGTAAACTGATATAAAATCTCTTTGCCATGGTAGTGATAAACAGTTTCTGGAGGTTCTATAATAGAACAAATGAAAATAAAGGGAATTTCTTAAAAATGTATTCCCAAACTTGAAAACGGACTAAACAAGAAAGTTTGCTGTCCTTTCTCTTTGGATAACGTGTCATATGTCTTTATGGTAGTATTTTTGACAAAATCATCATAACTAATATCCCCTGGCTCTCAAACAATCTGTGTCATGCTTGCTCTTATTTTCTTTTTCTCTGATACTCTTATATTTTCCTTGGACCTCCTCTTTTTCTTAATTATTCATTATCTTTCATTTCCTAAATGACTTCTCTTGTATAATTTATCTGCACAGCAATCTTCTTATAGTTGTATTCATGTCTTCTAATCTTCATTCTTACATAGAAAACTTCAAGAAGATGGAATTCCTTTTCCTTACTCTAATTTGTCAAGATCTATCTCTTATTATAATGTAGCTATTATTCTGAAAACAATGAGAAGGAATTAGATAAGCTAAATGGCCTGATGATGCATAACAATTAATATATTTTTTGTTTCTAAAAACAGCAGAACCAATTCAGTTCACTAAGAGCATACAGAACATTGTAGTGAGTGAACACCAGTCTGCAACCTTTGAGTGTGAAGTGTCTTTTGATGATGCAGTTGTGACATGGTATAAAGGCCCCACTGAACTGAGAGAGAGTCCCAAGTACAGCTTCAGAAGTGAAGGTCGCTGTCATTATATGACCATTCACAACGTTAATGCAGAAGATGAAGGTAAAAATGCATGGAATATTTGTGCTGATGCTCTTTTTTTTATCTGATTTTGTTGTCTGTTTTTTTAATGATAAAGGCATTCTTGCTGTTGCAGGTGTATACTCTGTAATTGCTCGTCTTGAACCAAGAGGAGAAGCAAGAAGCACTGCAGAGCTCTATCTGGTAACCAAAGGTTAGTGAATTTGTTAACGAATGTATGATCTTACCCATCAGCAACTTTGTAAGTTTGAGCATGATTCTGGAAATATAAATAGTCCTAACAGAAATTTAATATTCTTTTGCAGAAATCAAACTGGAGTTGAAGCCACCAGGTAAAAATGATGAGCAAGACTGGCACAAGATCACATCTACACTCTGTCATAGATTTAGTACTTTGATCTGCTCTGTTTTTTATTTTCAAACAATTTTTTCCTTGTTACAGTAAGTCAAACCTAGACCCTGAAAAAACATTCCTCATCTGTAGATATGAGGAGCTATTTATTCTAATAAATAGTGGCAATGAATACCTTGGTAACTCCAAAATCAGCGATATTAACATGTTTTAAAATCAGCATAACATTTTGTACGTTCTCCAAAACACAAAAGTTCATTTTTGTTTCAATGACTGAGGCATAGAAAAATAAAGAGAACAATTTTCTGCACAACTGAAAATACATAATCAAGGATGCGGAATGAGTAGCAATCATCTCCTTAGGATATATAATGATCTTTTCCGACTGTTCTTAAGAGCCTACTCTAAAATTGTGCAGGAATTATTTAGAAATAAAATGAAACAGCGTAGAGTCTAGCCAGATTGAAAGATTAGTGCAATTAGTTATCTATTGATCAGCTAGCTTAATCTTGAGGAACAGGCTACAATCTTTTTATACGAGAACAACCAAGATTAAAGCACCATGAACTACTATTCTTGGGGACAGCATATTCAAATCTATTTTTTTATATTAAAAT